CAACGAGTCATTTTCTAGGGTAAATATGTTCCCAACTATCTACATAGCACATATTTATAACAAAATTATCCCCTTATCTGAAATCCAAATTTAACTGGCGTCCTGTGTGTATTTCTATGTATTTGTTTAATGTAAATACTTTTATTTACATTTTATTTTATTACAATTTTATTTACATGCAAATATATCCACACATAAATAGGCGCTCGTATAGATATAATAGATGCTATAGTGCATAATACATTCATAACACGTGTACTGTATTTTATACATAGAATATAAATAAAAACTCGTTTTTCCTCGTTTGTCTTTTGGCTAAATCTGGCAACCACGCCTGCAGCGAGGCCGTCACTTCGCGCTCAGGAGGGCATCGGATCAGGAAGAGAACGAATTTGATGCTTGCTCCGCAGGGAGAGCACCCGGGTGCTGTGCACCCGCCTGTCCGTCGCACGCACGCACCTGCGCTCGGACCTGCGCAGAGAAGGACACCCAGGCCCGGACCCGGGGCCAGCCGCACCCGCCCTCGGTACGGACCGCAGCGAGCACCCTCGTCGGCGCTGCCTCTGCCGACCTTGCTCGCTGCCCGGCGCGTGCCTGTCCTCTCGCCCAGTGGGGACCCCGGTCCTTTTCTCCCAACAGCAGCCTCCCCGCACCTGGTCCAGGACCCGCGGGCGCGTCCGCTGCTCACGGGTTCGCGCGGACTCTGACACCCAGCCCCGACCCTGCATTCTGAGAACCAAGACCCGACCTGGGTCTTCCTCGCACCTCCGCGCGCCCAGCCCGGGCCTGCGCCCTGCAGAAGCCCTCCGCCCCACCCCCAACTTCCCTGAACGAAAAGGTTGAGGATGCAAGCAGGCGTCCTGCTTCGCAGTGCCGGCATTTTCTGTCCCCGGCCAGTTCAACCCCCGATTGTGATTCATCTTTGGGTCCCGCCCCCTGCTCCCGCACCTTGCAAACAATAGGTGAGCAATAAAAGTGCGTGGAAGTCTGCCAGACGCGCCAGGTGAGGTGCGGACCTCGTGCAGCCAGGGTCTGCACCAGCCGGGGGTGCGCACAGTTCCACGGGCGACACCGACGCGGGGCTCCCTTTGGCCTGGGGGCACTGGTTCGGAGGCAGATAACCGGTCCTTTGAGCACCAGTAGGCAGCGCACAACAGGTGCCGCCGTCGAGAGCCTTTCAAAACTCATCCTGCATGTCAGGTTCTTCAGCGGAGGCCCCGACGTGCTAGGTGGGAGCCCTGGAAGCCCAGGTCTGCCCTGGGGGTTGGCCCGGACCTTGGAGCCACAGGTGTCGCGGGCCCGAGAGAAGCCTCGACCTGAGGCGGGTCTCTGCGCGCAGAAAGCAATGCCTCGTGCACGACCCACGTGTCGTCGTGGACACCCGCGCCTGTCTGCGCAACGAGGAACGGAATCCTACCCCCGGGGCCAGGAGGCAGTGGCCGGGGGAGGGGGCAAGGTGCGGGCCGCGGGACCTGGGAGTGTTTGCTTTCCTTGTTACTACTCCCTAGGGACCGTGGGACACGTCTTCCACCCAGGAAGACAGCAGGCTGGGGCCGAGAGAGTCACGCGTCCAGAGGGTCGCAGCTGATCCGCAATGAGGGGCGGGGCCCCGGCGAGGTCGTGACCTCCACTGCGTGAGCGGCGTGGGTGGCGGGCTCTCCTGGGCGGAGGAGCCGGGCTAATGCCACCCGGAAGCAGGTAGCTCGACTTAAGCCCCGGTCCCGAGGCCGAGACCTTCCCCGTCCCTCTCGGCCACTGGCAGTGCGGACCCGGGTGGCGACACCCCTGTGATGCGCGGCGCTTCTCCTGGCCCCTTGGATTCCCAGCGCCTGGCGCGGAGGGGTCCAGTGCCCATGGGGGCG